TAACCACCTTCCGTTTCAACTGAAATGTGCTTCCGTTTCAACTGAAATGCTTTCATACAACATACTGAAATGCTTGCATACAACATACTGAAATGCTTGCATACAACATACTGAAATGCTTGCATACAACATACTGAAATGCTTGCATATAACATACTGAAATGATTTTCAGTTGTGTGAGTGAGAGCGTTTCAGTTATGTTTGTAAAAGCATTTCACTTGTATGTGTGTGAGCATTTCACTTGTGTGTGTGAGAGCATTTCACTTGTATGTGTGTGAGCATTTCAGTTGTGTGTGTGTGAGCGTTTCAGTTGTGTGTGTGAGCGTAATATTTTCAGTTGTATGTATGTGAGCGTTTCAGTTGTATGTATGTGAGCGTTTCAGTTGTGTTTGTAAAAGCATTTCACTTGTATGTGTGTGAGCATTTCAGTTGTGTGTGTGAGCGTAATATTTTCAGTTGTATGTATGAGAGCGTTTCAGTTGTGTTTGTAAAAAGCATTTCACTTGTATGTGTGTGAGCATTTCAGTTGTGTGTGTGTGAGTGTTTCAGTTATGTGTGTGAGCATAATATTTTCAGTTGTATGTATGAGAGCATTTCAGTTGTGTGTGTGTGAGCGTTTCAGTTGTGTGTGTGAGCGTAATATTTTCAGTTGTATGTATGAGAGCGTTTCAGTTGTGGTTGTCAAAGCATTTCACTTGTATGTGTGTGAGCATTTCATTATAGTATGTGAATGAATTTGGTTTTATATGTGTATGTGAGAGGAAAAGTACATGTATATGCAAGGTAATTCTGAATAATGTCCCTAGGGGCACCTCATACCTCATAATTGGGTTCTACTTATTCAAATAATCAAATGTATCTAATTATACTAAAATAAAAATACACAGTACTGTGCAAAAGTGATATAGGCACGTTAGTATTTTCACACACACAAAAAGGGTTTAAGTCAGTTATTTAAATCGTTTGCTGTAGTGTCAGTAGGAAATATCAGTTTACATTTCCAAATATTCCTTTTGCCATTAATTGTAATAATCCAAGTCTGACAACAGCAGGGATGATCTGATCTCACCATCATCGAGTCCATCTGTGATTACATGAAGAAACCGAAAAAACTAAGACAGCTATTTTGCCCGTTCATTTTTTTTTGTACATTGGAATTAAATATTTTTCCTTAGAAGAAACTTTGAGTTAATATAGAGGGAAAATAATTTCAACTCAAATAATGTCTACGAATGAGCTGCTGATACAAGCATGTGAACTAAGCAGTTGACTTGAACAAGGGAGCAAAATAAATGTTTTTTTGATGGTTTTTCATGTTTTATGTAAAAAAGGTGAGTTGATTAGACCATTTATTCACTTTTTTATGCTTTAGACATGTAAAACATCCGTGTTTCACTTCATTAGGTGCTTTAATAAGAATTGCGTATACGTGACATCATTTGTGATTTCCTGAATGAACTAGTGATTTTTTTAACAGTTAATTGAAACGAACTGTCTGAAAGAACCAGTTCACAGAAAACAATCAGACTTCCCATCACTCGTCATGGGCTCTATTCATTTATTCTGGAGTAGCCTGCAAGAAGGTCTTGGTTTTATTTTTACAGTAATGACCCGTTCAAGTAGTTTATAGCTAAGTGCTCTTATAATCGCAGAATGATTTATCCTTCAGGATTTGGTGCACAGATACTGAGGTCACCGGAGACATAGTTTGTCATATCTGCCAGTTAAACTTAGCTATTCAACATTTATTTCACAATTGCAAACAAAAATTACCTCTTAATCTAATGACTAGTATTCAATAGTTAGACAACAAAACACTATTGTTGTTGCATAAATGGTTCGCCTGTGAACTTCCATTAATATGCATACTCAGACATCACTTTTGATGAGGTATGTTGATGTGGACTCTGTAAACACAATACAATTGCAAAGTATTGTTTCTTTCCAAGGTTTTTCCTTTCTCCAAAGGGCACCTGATTAACAGGAGCTCTTACTGATTCTGAGCTATTATGCAATCCCACTTTCAATTTCTGTTCAGAGACTGGCAGTTGTTTGTATGGGATTTGAATGTGGGATTTTTTTCTCTCTATGCCATTCACGTGTATAATAATAGCACATGCATATTATGTTTCATGCATTCTGAGAAATGTATGCAGCACATAGTCATCTGTTTACTTTTGGCTGATCAGGATCAGTAGTAATGAACCCGTAGTTGTTCCTCTAACTCTCTCTGTCCACAACAAAGCTGATTTGTTTCAGGCATCACTTCTCTTTGCTTGTTATTTTTCCTTTATTTTACTGCAGGAGTGTTGCTTGAAATTTAACATAAAAGGACAGCTCAGAATCTAAGAATGAAAATCGAGTATCTGGTCATCCACAGATGCCTTTGATATTATTGTTTTCTGGACAAAAATATAGCAGATTGAAACAGATCTTAATATTCTGCATGGTTCCATCTAAAATAGCACTGCAGTATTAAGCAATTCAAATCTAATGGTGACGACATTTGCATGTCTTTTTTTTAAACAGAAAATAACCTAAAGAAAAAAACTCATTGTTTTTTAAAGGTGGATTTGAACAGCAGGCGATATTCACTCTAATGTGAGACAGACACATGATCTGTTTTGGAAAAGCAATCTGTGACAAAAAGTGCAGTTGAGATGTTCAATCTGCACTCTCTCATTATAGGTTTTTTCTCAACTGTTGCAAATAATACTACACTGTGAACCACAGCTTTGCTGGCTGTCTTGCAGCTGATTTTCCCCCTAAAGTGACAGTGAAATAATTACAAGGAGCTTCTTGCAGCAGCTCAGGGTTTTTCTAAAGAGGGTCACTCACATACTTGGGACTGAATCCACAGGCTTTCAGTTAGCAGCCCAGATCCTTAATCATCGTGAACACCACACCCCGTTTAAAAAACAAGAGGCAGCTGTACTGGCTCCGTTTACCTGTAACGCTGCAAGAAAAATGTCTATCTGCTATAATGAGGTGGTTAAGCTGGTTTTGTTTGTCATAAAACTATTACTGGAAAGAGCTGGCAGGCCATCCGAGTATTCAAGGACATGTCAAAATGCAAATCATGTTCCCGACTGAAATTAGTTTCTCATTATTCCATGAAAGAGTTTCACAGTTTGTGATAAAAAAAAGTCTATTTTCATATGTTATTTTCAATCTTATTCTCCTCCAACCTCATGATGTCTTATCTGTACTCATTTTTCTCAAAGAAACTATCCAAAACACATGAGAAGCGTTCTAGTGTTGGGATTTAGGATTAATGCGAAAAAAGACTTGTGAGCCCGGTTTAATTAAAACATGACGTTTTCTTAATTAATCTAGCAGGAAAAGCTGCATCTCTTGAGAGCATTGTGCCCTGACACTGAGAACGCATGGGACTGTACGCTCCATCCGCTCGGTTCAGAATGCTGACATGTGACACACAACAACACGTCCGGGTGAGTTGGAATAGAACATCAGGTTTGCATCATTCAGCCTTTTATTAATCTGCCGCTCCGGGCCTGCTGATATTGGACATATGTTCCTTTTAGCCGAGCGATGTTAAAATTATCATACATCATGTGCTCTCAGATGCACCCTTGTGTTGTGACTTTCGCTCACATATGCTTCATAGGCTTTGACATTCATTAAGTCCCATTTACTAAAGCTGAAAAGCTTTTTGCTCTCTGAGTTTTAGCTGTGGAGATGTGCCTAGAATGAATAAATCACACTTAGGACATTGATTTGGTTACACTGTTGTTTGCACTTCAATTTCCCTCACTTAACCCAGGGAGCTATTTCGTTTAAATTGTCTCTTGTCCCCCTTCCAGCTGTGTAATGTTTTAAACTGATTATAGGAGATGACTCAGTGGCTGTCTTTAGGACAAATGCAATCTTTTGGTTGGATGGAATTCAATGTGAACTTGCATAATCGCACACAAAAGAACAGAATAATATAGCAGTAATAGAAAATGAATCATAAATCTTTTATCATGCCCTGCAAATTCGTAAAATTACCATGCATTCAATAACAGGAGAATCACTGTCTATTTGGCTTTATTTATTTATTTTAAGTTTTAGCACTTTCATTTAAGTCTTTATCTCATTAACCTAAAACCTAACTTTTAAAAATGTACATGAAAAATTAAAAACATTTATATTGATTTTATCAGTTATTGTTAACAATACCTTAACATCACATCTGTCACGGATGGAACAGGAGTCAGACAGGTGGTAAGTGAAATAGTGTTTATTTACAGGTTGCAGATCCAGACAGAGATATGGTGAGTGAGTATGCAAGCAGACGATATTCAGGATGGAACTTAGCTGAAGGATAACCAGAGTCTTTGTTTACAGATGCGGATGGAGAGTCACTGGGAACAGGCTGATAACCGGAGACTGGAGACTGAACTTCCGTGTGAAGGCTAGCAGGTGATCGATGGATGGAACTCAGGTAGGTAGCAGGTAAGATGCAGGTAAGTAGCGTGATAGTCTGCAGTGTCATGTAGAGACGAGACCAGACAATGAGTGTGTGAAGAGGAGTTGAATATATAGGGAGGTGAACTGATGAGGTGCAGGTGATGGTGATTAAAACTCAGGGGACTGTGAACGAGTGAGTGAATGAGTGGGAGGAGTGAGTGAAGCTGGTGGAATCCTGACGGTACCCCCCTCTGTCCCGACACCTGAGACGAGGGACGAAGACGGCGACGAGGTCTACCACAACCCCTGGGAGCGGGGCGATCAGGATGGTCGACGTGAAACTGAGTGAGGACATCTGGATCCAGGATATCATCGCGAGGAACCCACGACCGTTCCTTTGGACCATAATCCTCCCAGTCAACCAGATACAGTGCCCTCCACAATAATTGGCACCCCTGTTTAAGATGTGGTCGAGGACTTCTAAAAATTCTCCTTTTTTTTTAAAACAACATAGAACCCAAATGCAAAAAAAGAGAAAATCCAACCTTTTATTTAAGTACATTACTTTGGTGGTAAAAAAAAAAAAAAAATAGAAAAAAAACCCACCTTGAAATCATGTGTCCCACAATTATTGGCACCCCTGATGTTAATACTTTGTACAACCCCCTTTTGCCAACAAGACATCACTTAATCTCCTCCTATAACATTTCACAAGATTGGAGAACACAGAGAGAGGGATCTTTGACCATTCTTCTTTGCACAATCTTTCTAGATCATCCAGTATCCTGGGTCCTCTCTTATGCACTCTCCTCTTTAGCTCGCCCCACAGGTTTTCGATTGGGTTGAGGTCTGTGGACTGAGATGGCCATGGGAGGACCTTGAGTTTGTGACTGCTGAACCATTTTTGTGTAGGTTTTTGCCACATGTTTTGGATCATTATCCTGCTGAAAGACCCAATGACAACACATCTTCAGCTTTCTGGCAGAGACCATCAGGTTTTTATTCAAAATGTCCTGGTAGTTCAAAGCGTTCATAATGCCATGCACCCAAACAAGGTTCCCAGGGCCTTTGGAAGAGAAACAGGCCCACAGCATCACAGATCCTCCACCATACTTCACGGTGGGCATGAGGTACTTTTTGGCATACTCATCTTTTGTTTTACGCCAGACCCACTTGGAGTGTTTGTTGTCAAAAAGCTCAATCTTAGTCTCATCTGACCAAAGCACACAATCCCAGTTGAAGTCCCAGTGCCGCTTAGCAAACTCCAGACATTTACGTTTGTGAGTGTTAGTGAGAAAAGGCTTTTTTCTTGCATGCCTCCCAAACAGCTTGTTGGCATGTAGAGAGCGTCTGATGGTTGTTTTGGAGACTTTGTGACCCCAAGATGCCACTCTTTGATGCAATTCTGTGACAGTGAGCTTAGGACTTTTTTTACTTCTCTTAGCATCCTCCTCACTGTGCGTTGTGGCAAGATAAACTTGGGACCTCTTCCAGCCTTGTTTGTCACTGTTCCAGTTGTTTTAAACTTCTTAAAGGGATACTCCACTTTTTTTGGAAATAGGCTCATTTTACAACTCCCCCAGAGTTAAACTGTTCAGTTTTACCGTTTTTGAATCCATTCAGCCGATCTCCGGTTCTGGCGGTACCACTTTTAGCATAGCTTAGCATACATCACTGAAGTGGACAAGACCATTAGCATTTCTCAAAAAAAAATGACCAAAGAGTTTCGATATTTTTCCTATTTAAAACTTGACTCTTCTGTAGTTACATCGTGCACTAAGACCGACGGAAAATGTAAAGTTGCGATTTTCTAGGCTGATATGGCTAGGAACTATACTCTCATTCCTGCGTAATAATCAAGAAACTTCACTGCCGTACCATGAGTGCAGCAGGCGTAAATGATATGACGCAGCGCCTGAAAATAGTTCCGTTGTGTTGACGGAAGGTGGCCTATTTTCAGGCGCTGCGTCATATCATTTACGCCTGCTGCACTCATGGTACGGCAGTAAAGTTTCTTGATTATTACGCAGGAATGAGAGTATAGTTCCTAGCCATATCAGCCTAGAAAATCGCAACTTTACATTTTCCGTCGGTCTTAGTCCACGATGTAACTACAGAAGAGTCAAGTTTTAAATAGGAAAAATATCGAAACTCTTTGGTCATTTTTTTTTAGAAATGCTAATGGTCTTGTCCACTCCAATGATGTATGCTAAGCTATGCTAAAAGTGGTACCGCCAGAACCGGAGATCGGCTGAATGGATTCAAAAACGGTAAAACTGAACAGTTTAACTCTGGGGGAGTTGTAAAATGAGCCTATTTCCAAAAAAAGTGGAGTATCCCTTTAATGATTCCTCTGACTGTAGATACGGGCAAGTTAAGGCAAGTGGCTATTTTCTTGTAGCCATTGCCTGACTTATGAAGGTCGACACACATCTGTCTAACTTGAATGGTGTGTTCTCTTGTCTTTGCCATGTTGACAAATGGGTAAGAGAATTAGGCCTCTGTGTCACGTCATATTTTTCCAGGGAAACATGAAGTCATGAATTACTAATTAAAAGTTCCTAGATACCATGACCAACTTTAGCAACTACAGAAAAATATATATATATATAAAAAAAAAAAAATCAATTCAAATTTTCAGCAGAATTGTTAGGGGTGCCAAATAATTGTGGGACACATGATTTCAAGTTATTTTTTTTCTAAATGTGTGATTTTTTTTACCACCAAAGTAATGTACTTAAATAAAAGGTTGGATTTTTCTCTTTTTTTGCATTTAGGTTCTATGTTGTTTAAAAAAAAAGGAGAATTTTTAGAAGTCCTCGACCACATCTTAAACAGGGGTGCCAATAATTGTGGAGGGCACTATTCCAGCCGAGGACCTCGTCGCCGTGAGTCCATGATGGTCCGGACTCGGTAGATGGGCTCTTGCTCGACTGGAACCGGAGGAGGAGGTATGTCCTCTGGGACGGTTTCTGTGGGAGGAAAAGTGACAGGTTCAATGAAGGGCTTCAACAGTGACACATGAAAAGATGGTGAAATCCTGTATTGTGGAGGAAGGTCAAGCCTTAGGTGAGTTCGTTCAGCTGCCTCTGCACGGTGAAAGGACCGATGTATTGAGGACTCAGCTTACGGCAGGGCAGGCGGAGGCGGATGTCCCTGGTCGAAACCCACACCTTTTGTTGGTACTTGTTGGTACAGGCTGGTACTGTTGAGGTTCAGCACGACGACGATCCGCTTGGTCCTTGTGCCTCCGCACTGCCTGCTGGAGGTGCGCGTGAGCCGAGTCCCATACCCTCTCGCTCTGATGGGACCAGTAATCGACAGCTGGAACCTCAGAGGGCTCACCCGACCAAGGGAAGAGTGGAGGTTGATAACCCAGGACACACTGAAAGGGGGTGAGCAGTGGTGGATTGCCGAAGGGAATTCTGGGCGTACTCCGCCCAGGGAAGGAACCGGCTCCAGCTGTCCTGGTACTGGTGGCAATAGGTCCTGAGATGTCGTCCGATCTCCTGGATCTTCCGCTCAGTCTGGCCGTTTGTCTGAGGGTGGTATCCAGAAGATAAGCTGACAGTAACCCCGAGGAGTCTGAAGAAGGCTTGCCAAACCCTTGAAATGAACTGTGGACCTCTGTCCGACATTATGTCCTCGGGGATGCCGAAGTTTCGAAACACATGATTGAAGAGGGCCTCTGCGGCCTCAAACGCAGTTGTAATAGCTCTAATAAAAAAAAAACATTCACTCTTAATTAGAAATTGATGACTGTGGCTCAGTGATTTGTAAAAAAATTCATTGCAAAATTGTGAATTGCATTAATGGAACTTGCCTCAAACTGCTTCACAAGTCTCTTATCAAAACTGTGTGAAATAGGAGTTATATTTAAGCATATGAAATGTTTATTACAATATCGAGTTTCTTGGCTCACCAACGTAGGCTGATGGATGGATTTCAGGAAGTCAACGTGAATCTGGTACAGGGCCGTGCACAGACATTTTGGGGGGTAGGTGTCAAGTTAGTTATATACTGTAGAACTGTAGAAATAAAATACTTTATTTAAATAAATAAATAAATATGTCCTTATTCTGGATTTGGGAATTGGTACACAGGCATTATGCTGGAATTGATAAATGAGCAAAATCAATGTTGTGCATTATTGACAGAAATTACTATTTCTTATTACTATTATTTATTTAGATGCATAGACTGCAATTACAGTTGCAGTAATAATGTTATGAAATAAGTGTAAAAATTTGAATTGCTATAGAAATATGAAATTATACTTTTCTATATGATTATTTTATATGAAACTGAAACCACCAGTAGCCTAAGATGCGTCAAGTCTTAAAGCAACACTAAGTAAGATTTTTTACCTTAAAGCTGCAGTCCGTAGCTTTTTTGGGGTTAAAATTAAATGATCCAAAATACAAATTTGAGAAAATACATAACCAGCCAGTGTTCAACACTATATGCTTGCCGTAGCTCGATTCAAAATGGTAAGCTTGTAATAATGTTTTTAATTCCAGTGGTACTGGTGGATTTCCGCGGGAGATTCGAGCATGTCTTTGCGTTATTACGTCACATCTGTACACATAAAGGAGTCTCGGATAGTAGGCTATGTTGCGTGTGAGGATGCTGGAGGTGGAGATTTATAGCCTTTTCTCACAGCACTTGATATAATCAAACTTATCAATTTGATGGCGGATCCAGAAAGGTTCAAACGACAATCACCAGTGACAACCGATTCACCCGCTGTAAAATGCAAAAGACTACATTCGGACTTCGGAGTGACTACAGAAAGAAGAGACTGCAACCGGCCCATGCGAAAACAAGGATACATATCGGAAGGACATTACATGTAGTCACGCAATGCTTGCTTATGTTGTTAACATTAACAATTTGAGAACAAAGTATAATTTGCACGGTTTTGCGTGATATGATAACTTATAAGCGATTGTTAGATTTAATCAGCGCGATTTACTGCAATGTCAGAACCAGAACAAAAGTGGATGTTTCTTACTAGTTCAGAGGACATTTTCCGGTGAAAATTCTTATGTTGGTCACACTTCCAAAAAGAATAATCTGTGATTCTGAATGCCACTATCCACACCGGCGCGGTGATTGACAGCCTCACAGTCTCCTCAAACATTGTGTTCATCCGCGCTGTGCCGTGTAGAGGGTGTTGAACTACAACTCACGTAAAGTTGATAATTCCGCGAATGACTGCAATTGCAGATTTCGAACAGAGATGGCGACAAAGAGGAAAAACGCCGGACTGCAGCTTTAAAATAATGCTTCCAAAATCGTTTCAGTGGTTCATCAAGTCGTAACAGGGTGAAAGGCACTTATGCCTCAGCTTTGCAGTCCTACATCTGCTATAACCACGCTATGTAAAATTGCCAGATCGGGTCGAGTTTCTGTAGTTCTAATGAGACATAAGAAAACTACAAATTTGACTTGCTTTACGTCAAGCGTTACAATAGTCATTATTTTGTTTTTCTTCGTTTCTGATGTCGCAATACATCATACTTTCATGAAATCATGCAACATACTCTACCTTGTCTGTGGACATCGTTCATTTCAAAGCTGGTGCTGGATAAACAACGTAGAAATACTAATAGTGTAGTAACAGTGGTTTAAATTGACAGTAGTGACACAATTCAAAGCTTAGGGTAAACACTATGGTTAATTGGCTGTCACCAATGCTGCCCCGCTCGATTTTCGTGGTGGCTATGAAGAGGGGGAAGAACATGGCAGGGGCTTGTGCGGTCTCGCAGAAGCCAAATTTAAATAAAACCTAAAATATAAAATTAAATTAAAAAAGGGAACTTATGACTTAAAAAAGGGCACTCATCTAGTCAGAGACCAAAATGGCAAGTAGTACTTGAGCACCACTTGGGCTCTATCTGTGCACATATGCTATCAAAAGTAGATGAACAAGTCTGACTTTGCCACAAGGAAAGAAAGCAAATAAAGCTTGTCCATTGAATTGACTGTCTGCAGGTGAAGATAGGAAATTGGTGTGAAGCTCACTCACCATCCTCTACTAGCACTGGAAATAAGACTCCTGTGATGATGTAGCAGAACCCAGAAACGTATATCAATGTGTGACTGACAAATGGGCTACATACAACACTATCTAGCATATTTTTTACCTGTTTACCCACCATCTTCCAGGAATTCACAGTTCAGATGGCACAGAGAATATCAGTAGTAATGTCTATTTGAAAAACACACTGTCAGAAATGACACAGTATTTGCACCTCCAGTTAAGTAACATTAAGCAGATTGAGTGTTTCTCCTGAGGAATGATGATACAAGCATAGGGGGATACAAGTCATCAGTGGATTTTCTTCTGACAGACGCCTGAATTTAGATTTTCCTCATTATTGGGAATTTACTGCCATCGTCTGGGTAAAGGATGAACTGCAATAAATTTAAATTAAAAACTTTTTTATTTATTTATATTTTTCAGGTGTTTATTATAGTCCTTCTTATTCTGACTGTTTTACAATCAGTTTTTCCTAAACCTTCCTAAACCTTATTTTTATTTTTAAAAGCCAAAAATGTTTACTTCTATGAATAGAATCTTTTATGAATATTATAATGTTCATATTTTCTCTTCTTCTGACTATTTACAATCAGTTTCTCTTAAACCTATTTTTTTTTATTTGATAGACAGACAGACAGACAGACAGACAGAAGGACAGACAGACAGAGACAGACAGATAGATAGATAGATAGATAGATAGATAGATAGATAGATAGATAGATAGATAGATAGATAGATAGATAGATAGATAGATAGATAGATAGATAGATAGATAGATAGATAGATACCGGTAGATAGATAGATAGAAAAATATATACCTTTTCCCCAGATGTTTATTTATTTATTAATCTTATGAAAATGAACATGAGTTGCCGATGTCTTTTTTAATAGACAACAGACAATATATGTTATAAAACAAATGTATATGTAAGTATGGCAGACAAACGGGCAGTAGGGGGAGCGCGGGGCGTAATGCGGGGCTAGTTGTAAGTTACAGTAACACACTTGTTTTAAATACTTCCACACATGCCAGCATGACGAAACTTGGTGTATTTACTAGTTGCCATTTCAACACTATATAGAGAAAAAAATGCGCCAAAATTCAGAAATCTTTGCAAGATATCACGGAACATTTATTTAACCATAGCAAAAGTACATTTCTTGCTTAAAGAGGCTATATGCGTTTTTCTGAAATTTAAACTCGCGACTGACACCTGTGGCCAAAAAACAGAACTGCTCTTCCTTTCTGCTCGCTCTCGTACGTGCACAGTTCACAAGTCATCTGCTGCAAGGAGGTCAACATTATGTTTACAGAGGTAAGAACAGTCAAATACATATTGTTTGAGATAAGTGCTGGCAAGCGGTGGTGGCAGAGTGATCTGAAACGTTTAACATGAACGCGCTTGACGTCACATCCGCCGACAGCGCGGGAAAAATCCGACCCGACAGAAAATAGGAAAAATAGGATACAGGCTTATAGGTGCACCCACTGTGAGCGGACAAGGTGTCAGTATGCTCAACAGGAGATGTTTGAGTCATAAATGGTAAAATAAAAAGGCTATTGTTACGTTTATTTTGGGGAAAAAGTTATATATAGTCCCTTTAAGTTAAATTTTCTTCTCTTATTTTTGTGTTTATTTAAAATTAGACAAATCTGATATTATTTTAATCTTCAATCAGTTGATTAACAGTTGATATAGTTCTTTAATGCTTCGCTAGCAGAAGACACTAGCAGGGTTTAAACCCCAGTTGTGCAGTTGGGGCATGTTGTAACACTGCGTTACAATGTGCCCCTATTAGAAATATGCTATTATATTCTATACTTTTATGAGAAAACATGAGAAACATGTAAATAAATACTGAGAGTCAATGTTCAGATCAGAAATTAATTATTATTTTGTTTTGAACTATGCTGTATAGCGGTGTTTTCCGGTGTGTTTGTTGTCAAACTCAAAAATTAGTTTATTTTTAATTATTAAAAAATGCCATTATTTTATATGAAAAAGATAATAATTGTATTTTATTAAGAAAATATTTTGGTTTGACTTGTATATATTTTTTTTGATCAGATAGCATTTTAAGCTGTCATATATGGTGATGTTACAATGTGCCCCTCACATGTTACAATGTACCCCATCTATGGGGCATGTTGTCACATTTCACTTCCATTCTTTCGGGGTAAATTAAGAAAAAAAGTATACACTGTATTAATAAAACAAAACCACATAATTGTCTGTGGGAAATTAATGTGGGGGAAAAAATAAATACTCTAAAGCCTAAGTAGATTTACACAAACTGAGAAAGTCAAAAAGCGTTACGTTGTGCCCCGCTCTCCACCTAGGCCTAGCAAAACAAATGAACATCTATATTTTCTTAGTAAAATGTCGCTTTAAGTATATTAAATTAAGTATATTAAATTATATCAAACTATATACGCTTTAAGTATATTAAATTATATCAAGTATATTAAATTATACTTGCTTATGTTTGTTATTTGATATATCGACAAAGGGAAACCAATATGAGCTGACCGGAGATCAGCGTTTAAGATCACTAAAAGGAAGAGTGACGTTTTGCGTCACGTGCACAGCTCGAGCTCGTCACATGATCAGCTGGTGACTCCTTCCCCTCTGATGGATGCAGGATTTACAGCCTTCGCCACTTCGAAGGGCTCACAGGAATCCATTTTTCTTCAAAATACAATTATCCAACAGAAAATAACATCACAGTAGCTTTAGGTTTATTCGTGGGAGAACCTTTAGAGAGCAAAACTGGCGCTGTTGTTGGAGTGGATGATGAACGGGCACGCAATTTTATACACCGGGGTCACTTTGGCCTTCTGGACGACCATCCTGATTGTTGGTAAGCGCTAATGAAACCTGCTGACATAAGCACACAAATAACACACACATCTTAATACAATTATCTTTATCTGCTTTATTCGTACGCAGATATCGTTATAATCTTTCTCTGTTTCTCATGTTTCTTTAGCTGGAAAGCCATTTTTTGGCTAACATCAACGTTAGCTGTCATACACTAACTAGCACGATTACGTCAAATAATAATTTAAATATAATTTTAATGGTATTAAAGGCTGTTGTCATAAAACATTGGTGTACACATTTTAAATTCGAGATCTAGTGATAGTACCAACAATTTTAAAGGCTGTCATTGAGAATTAGACGTACACCTGCTCTGATGAGAACGTAAATTATTTTAGCTAACGTTATAGTTAAAATGTTTGTCTAGTATTTATATTCTGTTCTTCTCCACACATGGGCTGGAATCGCACAGGAACAAAATTCAACATGTAATATGGATAAAAAAAAAAAAAGTAGATCTAAGGCAGTTAAACAGGGTTTTATGACCAAATGAGGAAGATGGCTCTCACATGACTGTGAGCTTTCACATACATACCCTCTATGATTCTGAATGGAAAAAGGCTATCCATATTTTGCCTTTTATTCAGATTATTCCACTGATTTTTGTTTTCTTTTTGGTTTAGATGAAAACTATATCACTTTTATACTATCACTTTATTACCTACTCTGCTTATTTACACGTAATTTAAACACTACTAATCATCTTTTTTTTCTCCCCAAAGGTACTTGCTATACGATATTTGATCTTGGATTTCGATTTGATATAGCATGGTATGTGTTTAGTAATCCTTGAAACATTAAAGCATGTTATTGCTTAGCAGGCTTTTCTTGTTCACTACAGTAACATTTGTTATATTACTGATATCCACAAAACTTAATGTAAGACTTGAAGTAAATGAATAAAATGCTTCTTATGATGTCTTGATAACATAACCTTTTCTGTCACAGGTTTTTAACAGAGACTTCTCCATTTATGTGGGCTAATCTTGGAATTGGCCTGGCCATCTCTCTGTCTGTTGTTGGAGCTGCATGGTGAGACTGTCCATTTCCTCTTTTTAGTCTGTCACAAAAGCAACAATGGGAAATTTTGACATGTAGTACAGTTTTCCGTATCCTCTTCTGCAGTGCTTAGTTGAAAGAGGTCCATAACAAAAAGAAGCATTCGACTCTTTTTATCAGTAGCTCACTCACCAAAATATGATCTAATGCAAAAGCTTATAGCATTCTCCTTTTGTGGTATATACATATTTAGATATTTGAATGGTGGTAACAAACAGTCAGTGACATACTTGTTTGTGGAAAATGATGTATTTTGTCTTGTTACTCTGCAGGGGGATTTACATCACTGGGTCCAGCATTATTGGTGGCGGAGTCAAAGCCCCTAGAATCAAGACCAAAAATCTTGTCAGGTATATGCGGTGTGCTTAATGTTTTGAAGTTTTATGTGAAAAGATTCTCCTTTTTTTGCTGCCTAATATCCTGATTTAGACATTTCTGGGTACATTAGTTGTCAGTGGAAAAAAAGGCTAAACTTAAATGAAGTCAAATTTTGAGGCAAACGTCTCTAAAATATATATTTTTTTGGCTCATGCCGCTTTTGTCAGATGAGCCTTTTGTTCTTATGATTCCTTCTGTCTTGTAACTCGGGTTTATTTGCTTGCCTAAGGCTTTTTTGGCTCACATTTGCACTTAGTGACAGTTAATTTTTTCTTTCTAGCATTATCTTTTGTGAAGCTGTTGCCATTTATGGGATCATCATGGCAATTGTCATTAGCAATTTGGCAGAGGTAAGTTAAAACTTATTTAATTTATTTCATTCTTTGAACACATTGGCTTTAGAGTAAATCTTAAGTTGTAGGTTTAGAAAAGAGAGCAGATGTTTTCCCTGAGCTTTTTACATCATTTAAATTGGCTGTATTACATGTACAGTACGATAGTTGTTCTCAACATTGTTTTTAAAAACATTTTTTATGTCATTTAGAACTTCAGTGGCACGACTCCAGAAACTATTGGGGCAAGGAACTACCAAGCAGGTGCATTTTACTTCTAAATCACTTCTCATCTCGAGTGAAATGTTTTTCTTTGCTTCTTCTGAGCAACCAAATGAATTTGGATGACACAGTGGTGCTGTTTTTTTCAGGCTACTCCATGTTTGGTGCTGGACTCACTGTTGGCTTTTCAAACCTCTTCTGTGGCATCTGTGTTGGCATCGTGGGCAGTGGAGCTGCCCTGGCTGATGCTCAGAATGCCAGCCTCTTTGTCAAGATCCTCATTGTTGAAATTTTCGGCAGTGCCATTGGACTGTTTGGAGTGATCGTAGCCATCTTGCAGGCAAGTGTTTTTTCTGAAATTACCATGTATGTTTCTTCTCCTGCAATATTTTAATATAAGCTGTTGTGGTCATTGTTCACTAAATAAAGCATAGCTTTAGTTTTTAATGTTCAAACTAAACTTTTTGGTAACACTTTACAATAAGGTCTCATTTGTTAACATTAGTTAATGTATTAACCAACATGAACTAACAATGAGCGATACATTTATGTATTTTTTAATCTTTCTTAATGTTGGTTAATAAAAATACAGTCATTGTTTGTTCATGTTATATCAGAGTGCATTAACATGGAGCTTATAATATGACAAAATGTGTATATTTGAATTATTGACAAGTGTAATCTAACAAAATGTAATATTATGTGGAATTTTAAATAATTCTGAATTTGATTTCTTTAAACGAATATTTAACATTTGAAATTAACAAATTGAAATGTTTTTATGGCTGAATTTTATAGATATGTATTTTCAAACAGCTATTTTTTTTTGTTCTGAATTCTTAGACTGCAAATAGCCAGTTTTAAAAAATACAGATTCAAGGTTTCAAGAAGAATAAGAAATTCGGAAGGAACTTCAAATTCAGTTTTCTAAAATTCAAAACGTTGAAAATTCAGATTGTGCAGAAAGTAGGTCACAGAGAAGAGTAGAGGATTTCAGAAAAGTCAAACTGAGCATTTTGGCTGCACTGGAGTAGTTTTAGTAGAGAATCCGTGTATCATTCGTTCAGTCGTTTTTTGATTTAATATTATGAGTAGAAAAATGAGAAAACAGCTTGATGATTAGATTTCTAATATTCTAATAATAGTCCTCCGCTGCTGCAGTTGCACGGATTCTTAACACGTTTATTGCAACTACATAGTAAAGATGTATAGGGTACATTTAATCTTTTTCTCATCAAACAAACAGACTAACCAATGGCTCGACACAACCTGTACCGGGGAAGAGCCTAGACAGGGCTTTCTTCTAGATATAATTTCACCTATGCTTTGCATCAGCTGGGTATGGCAGGGTAGGCTAAATGACATCTGTCATAGTTAAAAAAAAGAAGAAGATATAAATCAATATAATTAGTAGTAAATTAAATATTTTTAACACTAATACAAAAAGGAAAGAATAATGCATTGACTTGGGTATATAATAGGCCTAACGTTCACGCATGAACTGTCAGAGTGACTATCAGAGATATTAAAATACATAATCTTCTGAGTTTTATGATGTAGGCCTTGTGTTTTATTTTTTTTATTTTTTAATGATGTCAAACAAAACGGTGGGTGTTGTTTTCTCTGCCAACTAAACTTCCAAAGTTAAGTCATTGTGCGTTTTCTCCGCGTTTTCTCTTGTCTACACCAAAATAAATTTCCAAGGACCCCCTAATAATAACAGTGATTAAGCCCAAAATAATGTGGGTGAGGGTAATAAACACAATGTTTTTTTTTGCCCAAATGGTCTCCAGTCTGAATTTTGTAATAATACAGCAACATTTTTTAACTGACCGTATTTGCCAGAAAATAAGTCGCATGCACCTGAGTGTAAGTCACACCGGGTCATGAGTAGGGGTGGGGGAAAAAATCGATTCTTAGATGCATCGCGATGCGGACGTGGACGATTCTGTATCGATTCACAATTGTCAAAAATCGATTTTCAAAAAAAAAAAAAAAAATTTTTAGATATATATTTATAATAACGTAATATTGACGGAACGCGAAAGACGGAACTCTGAAGCGCGGAAGTGCAGTGGCCGGTCCGTCTGTGGCGTGCACATAACAGACGCGGACGCGATGGCTGAGCGCCAAATCCAAACACCCTCCTCGTTAAAAGCTGACGTGTGGAAATATTTTGGCTTCTGAAGTTGAAGGGGGAAAGGAGCTGGACAAGAGCCACACTAGTTGTAAGCTTTGTAGAGTAAAACTAAAATATTTCGGAAACAAGACACATGAAGCCAAATGACACGTTTCCAGCCAGAGGAGGAAAAACACTCGGCTGTAACGTTACCGGTCGTTGTTATATTATTAATTTACTACAAATATGCTGCTGCTAGTTCAGACACACATGTATTTTCCTGTTGGTTCTTTGCAATGTTAATAAAATATATTGTACGTTAATTCTTTATGGGTCATTACTTTGTACTTTTAAAGCAAAGTATTTATAGTCACACACACACAAAAAAGATTCTGATAATCGATTTAGCATCGAATCGCAGCCCTCTGAATCGTAATCGAATCGAATCGTGAGGTGCCTAGAGATTCCCACCCCTAGTCATGAGAAGAGAGAAACATGCGCGCGCATCACATTGTCGTAAAAACTGCATTTTATTCAGCAATAGTGTAAAAGACCAGTAAATAAAATACAATATTAACATTATAAACACTACTAACATGTAGGCTATGTGTATTTTACTTTCCCTTACTGTATGACAAATCCTTTAATGAATGCAGAAAACAACAAGAATGAAAAAAATAAGTAGCCATGTATAATAAAAAATATATATACACATAGTAGCCTAGCCTATAAAAAATAGCCTATATTGTGCTCTTTATTACAAACAACATTTAGCCTATTTTAAACACCAAGCCTAAACAAATTTATTTGAATGGAAACTGAAACTGTACCGACGTTGAGTTCGCGCATCTCTCATTCGGTCCAAAGTTTCTATATTTGCAATGTAACATTTGGATGCTAACTATTAATATAAAGAAGGCTTCATACTTCAGTTGAGTTCCAATATACACGTATTTGCTAAATCAGCATCTTCACTGCAAGGTACATGTTCCGTTGTGTCAAACAATTCGTTAGTCTAGTTGTTTGATGAGAAAATGAAATGTAACCTTGTTGCAATAAACGCGTTAAGTTTCGTAAAAGCTCCGTGCAACTGCAGCAGCGGAGGACTATTATTAAAATATTAGAAATCTAATATTCAAGCCGGTTTCTCATTTTTCTACTCTTAATATTAAATAAAAAAACGACTGAACGAATGATACACGGATTCTCTTGAACCACCACCACGTTTGCGGCAGAAAACTACTCCAGTGCAGCCAAAATGCTTCATTCGACTTTTCTGAAATCCTCTACTCTTCCCTGAGGATGACCTGTGACCTACTTTCTGCACAATCTAAAATTTCCGCGTTTTGAATTTTAGAAAACTGAATTTGAAGTTTTGAATTTCTTCTTGAAAACTTGAATCTGTATTTTTTTTTTAAACTGGATATTTGCAGTCTTAAGAATTCAGAACAAAATAGCTGTTTGAAAATACATGTCTATAAAATTCAGCCATAAAAACATTTCAATTCGTTAAATTTTAAATGTTCAATATTCGTTTAAAGAAATCAAATTCAGAACTATTTAAAATTCCACATAATATTACATTTTGTTAGACTACACTTGTCAATAATTCAAATATACACACTTCAAATTCAAATCATTTTGTCATATTATAAGCTCCATACATTAACTAATGTTAACACATGACTTTTGATTTCAATAATGCATTAGTAAATGTTGAAATTAACATTTAAATAATAAATGCTGTAGAAGTATTGTTCAGTCTTGTTAACTAATATAACTTAAGTGTCAAGTTTTATTTGTAGAGCACAAGTTTAACACAACCGTAGTTGATCCTAAGTACTTTACAATACAATGAAAATAAATCCGAATTTGAAAGAAGAGGAGTAGAAAAAAATATAGAAATTGAGACTAAAATCAAGGATCAAAATCAACCAAAATGTATATACATACAAGCATAATGTAGAACACCAGCTTTTTAAAATACATACGCGGCAGCATTACTCGAACGCTAGAGAGTTAAAATAAGCCTTTAAACTGGATTTAAAAGCATCCAGTCATGGAGAGGCCCTGATGTTCAAAGGTAGACATCGTTCCTAAGCTTTGGGGAGACTACAGAGAAAGCTTGATCACCTTTTGATTTACAACGAGAATGAGAGTCGGATAAAAGAACCTTTTCACAAGATCCCAGTGACCTAGAGGCTGTGTATGGCCTAATAAGATCACAAATATAATCCGGGGCCGAATTGTGCAGTGCCTTGTATGTGAAAAGAAGGATCTTAAATTCAAATCTGCGTTTGCGCGTTGGCTGGCGCTGAGCCAGAGAGACAGACGCTCTCAGCGCTGTCATATATCACAACTATTCAGTGTTTTCAACCACATAAGCTTTATTAATTTAAAAGCACATAAGTAGGCTTCTAGCAAAACAACATTTGAAGAGTTCAGATGCAAAAGCCTCTAAATGCCATCTGAAATTTTCTTCTAAAATGATCATTTTTATCAAGCTCGTATATTTAAATTCAGTAATTTCACTTAAATGACAACTAATGGGTAATTTTTCTTGCCATTCAAGTGAAATTATTGAACTTAAATATACGAGCTTGATAAAAATGATCATTTTTAGAAGAAAATTTCAGATGGCTTTTAGAGGCTTTTGCATCTGAACTCTTCATTTATAGTTTGTAAAAACCAAAAGCCTTTGGTTTACCTAACAGATAAAGAACTGTCATGAAGCATATTCTTCCCCATCTGGCTTCCAGCAGGATCATCTTTTGAATTATTTCTCATTAATATCCATCTAGCTACTTATGACCACCCTCTGGAAAATGAATATTTTATCACCATTTCCAGTCACACACTGTAAATTGATCTGACATGCATACTTGAATTCAGATTGAGATTATTCAGCCACACAAGAGCAACTCCTATTAAAACTGTCATATCATATGGCTTTTGCAGTTGCAATATGGCCTCTAATGTTTTTTGATATCATTTTGGTTCATCACAGTCTTTTCAGGAGAATATGTTTTGTGGCCATGAGATATCAAATTCTGTCTGTTAACCTAGTTCATTTTTTTTTTTTTACCTGTAAAATCATTAACATTGTTTCTCTCTCTGTTTAGACATCGAAAGTAAAAATGGGAGATTAGAAGACTACACGACCTACAGATCAAAGACGCTGTGTTGCTGGTGCAAACAGGAGGTGTAAATACATAGTAAATTATTTAAATGTATTTTCCTTTGTCTGTTTTTAACCATCATTTTCTGAAGATTGAATTATTGTATGTGCACCAATTTGTCTTAAAAGAGTGCATGATGATGTCAAAGGCAGATCTTTGACGACTCACTTAGTTTGACATCTCATAATACTGAAAATGAAATATCACTTAATGTTTTTGGCCATACCTCCACGATGTCATAATATCAAATTTAAACATTAGAAATTTTATTTTAATTAAGAGGTATTTTATTTATTAAAATAGCCTAATCATATAAACGATGACCCTGGAGACAGAAAAGACAGTCAATAGACCCAATGTTCTGGTCTCTTGACACACAGGGTGTTATGTTTGTAATCATCTCAAATTTCAATATATAATTCGTTGTGATTGTTCTGTACAGTACAAGAAAAGTGATCAATTGCATTAGTGTGGTTCTTTGCGTTGGATGGCTGTAAATCGTAAAGTATTCTCTTGATCGCTGAATGCAAGAATATTCTTGTATTTGCGTGATGACACCTGGTGTATCCAGTGTGCTTGACCTGATCTCACTCTCATGTGTTGTGTTTTCATGTTGCTACCATGTTGAATTCAAGTAAACAATATCTTTGAGAAAACAGTTATACCAAAACTATGTTAAAAAAGAAAAGAAAAAAGAAAACCAGTCTCCAATTGTATTTCTACCGGTGTGGTCCCTCACTTTGTAGGGCTATCTTCAGTTCAACGAAGTTAAAAATAAGAGGATATAATAATAATCTGATGCGTGTACATATTTAATGCAGCTGTTTATTTTTGTGTGTGAAGCATGAGGGTGTTTGCCATTCTGTATTTCCCTAGTTGTCTTGTGATTTTTGTCTACTTTTTGTATTTTATTATTTTTTTGGAAGCAAGAAGTGGTCTTTATCCCCTAGGTCTCTTTCGTTACTGTATAATGTCTACAATCAAAGCTGGATGAACGATATGAAACATCAACTTTGTTGTTCAGTTAATTCTGAAAATGATAGAAGTTCATAGCAGAAAAGCATAGCAAACAGCTGTTGAAGGTTGACTTTAATTGGTTACAGACATTAGATTCCATATTTATTTTAACGCAAATAAAAACCAGGTTTTAGGGTTTACTGTATTTTAAGATCTCATTTTCACAACCAAATTTTTCGTCCACTTGAAATGTTTTGAAAAGACGTACTTTCAGTTTTGCATCAGCTGAAATATTTAGCAGTACAACAACCCATTTATTCATCACAGCCTCACTTTCACTCACGTAAAATGAAATATGGTGTTTTCCTTTTGCTAGGGTCCATAGGTTATTGAATTCTAACAGTATACCACTGGTTATAACAATGATCAAACTTGTAAGATCAGTTGACCTTCTTTTAGCTATACTTGGATGCTTTTCAGTCAATGATGTGTTTGTGAATTGGAGGTACACACTAAACATGATTTTACTAACCGCTGAATGTCCAAAATCAACTTCTGTTAATTGTCTGTTGTTTAAGTTATAATGATCAATCGAACTGCATACCCCCTCTGGAAAGCACTATAGACTTTTGAATCACTTCAAGTCTATTGAACAAGTTGATCCATCTGTGTAATTCTTGAACTGGATTTGTGGAGTGATGCATTATTTTGTATTGTTTTTTTCACCCTCATTCTTTACCTGCAAGTGTTTATTTTAAAACATTCCAATTTAGACTTGGTTGTAATGACTCGGTGGTTAACCCACTCCTGGGGGATCACACTGCGAGGCTGCTTTAGGTCTCATTATAGTGGGGCTTCCAGGACCTGGACTGGCTGTCTGTGGTCTAGTGGTTCAGGAGTTGACTTTTTTCCCATTTCTCCTGTTTCAGCGATTGTTAAATATGTTAATGTGGTGATTCCATTGTTTTGATGTGTACAAGTGGATCCTCTAGGCTTCATAATTGTCCTCTAAGAAATAAAAAAGAAATGTGGAAAAGTTCAGTGCCATGTTTTCTGTTTATTGTACAGTATCAGCAGTAGCATTGTATAGCATAACTCAAACACTAGGTTAATAGATGACTAATAATTCATTTATATTTTAGTGCTTTACACTATAGACGTGGAACTGCACACTCCATGATCGATCAGCCAATAGAAGTAAACTGACTACCCCCTCATTACCATATTGCAGGAGGAAATGCACTACTATTCAAATGTTTGGGGTTGGTATGATTTTTTTTTTTAAAGGAAGTCTCTTGCTCACCAGGGCTGCATTTATTTGATTATAAAACAGCAAAAACAGTAATATTATGAAATATTGTTACAATTTAAAAAATAACTTTTATTTTAATATATTTTAAAATGTAAGTTATTCCTCTGATTGCAAAGCTGAATTTTAAGCACCATTACTAGTTTTCAGTGTCACATGATCTTTCAGAAATCCGTCTAATAGGCTGATTTGGTGCTCAAGAAACATTATCAATAAGATATTATTGATCAATTACATTATCAATTATTTTATATTATTATTACATTATCAATTATTTTATATTAATATTGAATCAAAATCCCACATATTTTATAAAACATATTTTGTGAATTATGTGCTCCAAACTAAAATTTTAATATAGTTTAGCTATAGCTGTTGCGGAAACAAGTAAACACAAAAAAAATACTGACACTGACACACTGACATACATGATGATGTATCTTGCCTAAAGTCATGCTGCCTATAGAATTATGTGTGTGTGAATATATATATATATATATATATATATATATATATATATATATATATATATATGTCACATGTGTTTTATATGTTGTCATTTTACAGAATTTATTAATAATGGTTTGATATTTTAATAAGGTTATCTTTTAAATGTTTTGCTGTTTCTTGAAATTCTGCCAACTGGCCCTGGTCTTCCCTAAATTAAAGCACAATTATCCCGATTTAAAAATATAAATACAAATTAAAATACAATATCAAAATATCATGCTTTGGAAATTGCCAATGTATACAACTAAACATTATTGGCTATGCATGATGATTTAGTAAATGCAGCATTGTACAAGCATTAGCGATCAGGTGACTGCTTTAAATATCCACCAGATGGCGCCAAAGGACGCAACACCGTTTCATGGCTTTCGTTTATTTAGCAGCTCCATAGTCCATCGCTTGTCACAGTTGCTGGCTGCTTATATAGGACCCTTTAAGAAACATAAAAGTAGAGCTAGCTTCACCTGTCAACCGTGATTGCAGTAAGAGAGATACATTTCATTCTTGACTGAACTGCAATGAACACGTTTGGCTAAAGAATGGACCACGAATCGATGGATGTTTGATTCTCTCGCTTTCAATCATGCTCGTGTGAAACTGCTTAAAATTGGGAAAAAAAGCTGCTATAAGGACAAATAATTATGCTCCCAAATAAAAACTAAATAGTACAAGTGTGTTTCAACCACTGATCTATACATAATATACATACATAATGTCATTATATAAATCAGTGGTTTCAGCCCAGGCAAAAAAAAAAAAAAAAGATAGAAAAAAAAATAATAATTCCAAAACAAAACAGTACATGCCTGGCTCGATACCTATCGAAGAGATATTAACTGCGCCCTCTTGCGGTGAATAAGCAGACCTCCGATTGAGCCTTCCGAGTCTCCGTACAAAAAGAAAAACCTGCCTCCCTATTCCTTTATTCGCACACCCATCATCTCTCCTCGCAAAAACACTGACCGGGCAAATGAAAATACAGGGCAAAATATTCAGTTTCATCATTGGAGTGTACGCTGTTGTTAAGGGCTCTGAACAACATGGAGAAATATAATGTCCCTGCAATATGGCATAATCCTTTCATCAGTGTGCATTTCTTTCCGAAAAATGAATTAATCGGCGTTATCTGCAGAAAGAAATAACGGTATCCGGCAAGTAACTTCCTCCTTTTTATATGGATATTATGATCAAACTAACTGTATTTCACACAGATGACACATTTATGGCTGAAACTGACAGTTCTTCCGAAATAGACAGTCAGCTGAAGTGAATACAACAAAGATGAATCCCTTTTAGAGGAGCCCCCTGGCTTGCAAAGGAACAAGGTAAGAAATTGCATGTTTGTGTTTATGTAGTGCAAATATGAAACATTTTAATCTCTGCACGACTTCCTTTGAACGATGCTCTTTGTTTTCGCTTAATATCACATGCTATCTTTATTGCCTGCCATCTTGATCAAGGCGCACATATATTCAACATAGAGATGGTGCCTATACAATCTTAAATCTTGGCCAGATGACTCTACCACAAAATAGTATTTTTCATCGAAATGCACATTTCAGCTCCTCCCAGCAGCAGAGACGAGTATAAGCAGAGGGATGATGCTGTGTAATGGTACCCACAGCATCCATGGACAGCATCTTGCCCAGTGTCTCAGGGTAGGAAGCTGGCAGGACATGTGTGGCTTTGTGGCCGAATATCTGAGAGTGTGGAGAAGAATTTAGAGTAAACACTCTGTATGAAGCCTGGATGTTTAATGCATTATAATGATATTTGTAATGCCTTACAATGCATCTTTAAATCACTGTAGATTCTCATTAATGACAAACAAAATTATAAGACTTACATATACATGGTTAAAGTATATACAAATATGGTTAAAGCCACATTTCATGTATATACTCATTCTTAAGCATGAATAGGTACATTTTAATATCTATAATATTTGGAAACCTTCTTTTATGAACAATAACGGCGGATCACATTTTTTATCATAATGCATGATGTTTACAGACTTCACAGAAAGTGTTTCTGAATATTGTGTAGTAAGCTTTCTAGAATCTTTATAAAAGTATGGCGTATATGAAACATTTTCCTATTAACCTTTTGATTAGTAAATTATTAATGAGAGCACATCATGGCACTTAAGTCTCAGGGCAACCGCTGTTTATGGGGTCCAATTAACATGCTGCTGTCTTCCCTTTTTATTTAATCGGTGATTGCAGTATATCTCATTAATTTCACAAATTGTGATACCGTCTTAAGCAGTTCCATTCTTAAAAAACATCACGTTTGCTCAATGTCAGCTCATGCAGTACGGCATTGAGACAGTTTTGTTTTGATGTTTTGTTGTATTAAGTTAAGGGGTTTTAGGGCTGTTTGTTTCACTTGCAAACAATCTGTTTCTCTTTCTTTAACCTTTTTTTCCTCTTTATCAAGACTATTTTCTGCGGAATATCTCCTATCCTGTATGTTAGTCAATCTGCAACAATATCACATAGTCAGTAAGGAATGAAGTTTTAGCACTCTAAAAGGTTTTGCTCACATACTTGTGTATAAAAACATTATCTAGTCCTTATTTAGATCCTGCTCTGAATATCTTGTCCGTAGTATATATATATAATAGTGCTGTCAAATCGATTAATCGCGATTATTCGCATCTAACATAAAAGTGTTTGTTTATATAATTTAAATGTGTGTGTGTGTGTGTGTGTGTGTGTGTGTGTATACATTTATATATATATATATATATATATATATATGCATACATAAATGGGTGTGTGTATATACACAGACATTATATAAACAAAAACGTTTATGTAAGATGCGATTAATCGCAATTATATATATATATATATATATATACTATGTACAGTATATATATATATATAACTAAATAAATAAATATTTAATGTAAAGTAAATTAAAATATAATTCTGATTATATCACTGACAGGGTGAAAGTTAAATAGGGTGTCAATTTAAATTTTAGCTGTAACTTACTCATTTATAGTCAGTCACTTCTGTTGTCTGATATCTGTGGTCCATTAGTTCTCGTCGG